CTTTTATAAGCTGGGGATTCTAAATTCCAGGTATGATCTTAGAAGCTATCTCCTAACTATACAAACAAGCAAAGCCAATACCAGTCCCAAAAGAAGAGAGTATTACCATGGCCCGTGGCACTGAGTGCTTTGAGACAATCTGAGCTTCTAAATCTTATGCTTTGATTATAGGTATATCAAATAAACTTAAAAATTAGTATTATATTGACATTAATCATCAATCACTCTAGAATGCTTTCCAGTTGAAAAGGATCACAGAAGCTGTTATTTTGAAAACAAAACAGATCTGGCTACCTTTTCTTGACCACAGAAATATTTTGTGTATATTTAAGAATCGTTACCTTCAAGTTTTAGGAAATATTGTTACAAATGCATATTTTTATTTTCCAGCAAAGCTCTCCTCTCAGATGTCTGATTTGTCTCAGAGCTAACTTCAGAATCACCTGAACTCATTTCTCCACTCTGAACAATAGTCCATGAGAATCACACAGTCTTGTCTATTCTTCTATTGTGATACATTTAAAAATATCTTTTTGAACAGTAACATGTGAAAGCATGGATGAAATTTTTAAACTTCTTTAGCCCTTACATTTCTTCTAATGTTAAGAGAGAGGAATTGCCCTGGCTGGTGTAGCTCAGTGGATTGAGCATGGGCTGCGAACCAAAGTGTCACAGGTTCGATTCCCAGTCAGGGCACATGCCTGGGTTGCAGGCCCCAGCCCTCAGCAACCACACTTTGATGTTTCTCTCTCTCTCTCTTTCTCCCTCCCTTCCCTCTCAAAAAATAAATAAATAAAATCTTAAAAAAAAAAGAGAGGAATTGGAAGATAGACTGGTATAATCATTATGTGCCTTTCTAATTCTAAAATTCTGTCATTTTGTGCTTATGCTGTTTTATATCCCCAATGTCACTATATACTATCCTCATTTTATGCAATTACATTGTAACTGTTCTCAGCTCATCCAGACTGGCTATGTTCTATTACACTGTGCACCATAACCAGTCATCTTCCAAAATGCCCACCTTCAGCTTGAAGTCTTCCTGGTTTCTCACTGCTGATCTGATAAAGTCTAAACTTATCATGTGCACTGGATTCAGGAGTCTGCCTTGTGGCCACAATGTGTCTTTTCATTTTTATGACCTACCTCTCTGTCACAAGAACTCTAATTCCAATCAAAATGTGCTATTAGACATTTCAGGCTCATACCCTGAAGGGGACATTCCCATTTCCATGCTTTGCTCAGTTAGAATGCCCTCCTGTGCTTTTCTCAGCTATCTGTGTTCCATCTGTCCTTTATGACCCACTCAGATTGCATCTTCTTCATGCTTTTCTTTATTAAGCTATTTCTAATGCATCCTCCTTCTTTCTCCTTATATCCTATCCATAGTGGGGTCTCCCTAACACTTAATATCAATACCATTCACTTAAAAACTTTATTGAGGAATAACTGACAAATATAATCATATAAATTTAAAGTATAGCATGTAATAATTTGGTATATAGCTACAGTGTAGAATGATTACCAAGGTCAAGATAATTAATACTATTCACTTTTATAAAACCTTTTTATTATGCAACATCCAATATTCTTACTTATAATTTCTTATAGTATATATTTGGTCTATTTCCAAAATGATGATGAGAGGGCTTATGATAGTAACCACATAAAACAACATGCCAGTTGGAAAAGAAAGTGAAAATTCAAATCCATATGTGGGAGAGAATAAGTAACATAGATTAATGAAACTTAAAATCTAGTTGTATGTTTCCTGGCAGTCAAAGCAAAAAAAAAACAAACAACAAAACCCTGGAAAAAACAACAACAAACTATTAATTCCCCTATGGCCACGATTTACTCTTATGATAGTGTGTTTGTGTATTGTTTTTAACTTTTCATCTGTATGCCTCTTGTCTTATAACTCTAATCATTGTGATTTCTAGGACTTATTTTAGGAATTACCCTTTGTAGTATGTAGCTAAGGTTTTAGTTTAGCATATGATAAGGATTTAATAAATGAATTGATTGATAGCTAATGTGATATCAGAATCATAAATCTGAAGCCATTTTATTTATCTAGAAATTCTAAATACATTCATAATAAACATGAATAAAATATGAATGTAAGAAGAAGACAGAAATCTTGGAGGGAGAAAAAAAGATCTAAAGTTGTGAGCATTTTATTAGAGGAAATTTTAAGAAGCATTCATAGCCCACCATTTTTTGATAAATGTCTATACAGATATCTGATAACATGGAGCAGCAAACCTTTAGTAAGATAGGAAACAGATTCAGTGGAACTAAATGGTATAGACTAATTTATGTCATTATCACCAGTGGAATGGGTAATAAAACTCCACCTTTCTTTCATGGCACAACAGTTTCTGACTTATTTCCTTCCCTAAATAGCTGTTTTATGGAACTGAAAGGACACTACGCAGATAACACTATGCTGTTCCTCACACTGTGTATCAAGGTTTAATCTCTTCTCTATCTAGAGTTATTTTTCTAAACTTGGTATAGGAGCCTATGTAAAATGCAGGGAACACTCTAGTCTGATGCTATCCAATAGCAATTTCCTTGATGGTGGAAATGCTTTATATCTATGCTATCCAGTATGGTACCCACTAGCTGCAGGTGCTGAGAACTCTAAATGTGGCTGATGTGACCAAGGAACTAATTTTACATTTTATTTTACATACTTACTTTAAATTCAAAGTGGCTAGTGACTACAGAATTGGATAGAGCCACTTTTACAGAGCCATTTGGCTTTAGAACAGAAATTTCCTTACCTGATTTGGTACTTTTAATAGTAGATTAAATTGATCGCTGCTTCTTTATATTCATGTGAAGTTTTAAGCTACCATGCATTAACTGCAAAGCTTTGGATGTTTTCACTATTTTAAGAAGTCTATGACGTCAAAATAAAATTTAGGGAAGTTCATTATTTACTGTCTTGATAACATGGACAGGATCGTCACTGTTTCTGTCATTATGTTTGTGTTTGGTCTCAAAAAGATTTTTACAAACTAGCAATCTCTGTGGGCTGTAGACTCCCTTCGTCAACCCTACTGGCGGAGGGCACTCTGGGTTTCTTGCTACAGGGAATCCTGAGTCTCAGAGAGAGGCATGTGAGTAAGTGGGCCTACCAAATTCCCCTCAAGGTGGATTTCTCTGTCTGGCTCTGGGGTTTGCTTCTGGTTCTGTGAGCAAGTGGGCGGGGTTTGCTTTCTCTAGGCCAGCAGGAGATTGCACTAATTCTTCCTTTTAATTTCTTTAATATGAGGATCCTCACGCTTGCTCTTTGAAATTCTATTTTGTAAACTGCTATTTCCTCTAAGCCTATTATGCCTTTTTTCCATCTGTGCTGGAGTCTCTTTTCCCAGCGGGCCTTTCTTTCTCAACTTAGTCATGCTATGTGTGGAGACCCACATCCACACTACAGGCCTCTCTGACTCATCTGGGAGGTTTGCCTGCTCCAGGAACCCCACTCACACTGTGGCAGAACAACAGGGAGGCTCCAGCAGAGCCAGCCCTTTCTGAAATCTGCCTCTTTTCCTGGCACCTCTCCTTCTTGCCAAAGCTACAGAAGGGAAAAAAAAACCCCAAAAATGCCCTTACCCCTTTTAAGGTAATGTTTTTAGTAAATAGTTTTTAGCAATTCTAATTTTCAGTTTATAAACTACTTTTGTTATTGCTGCTGTTTTTAAATATTCCTTAATCTGGCTAATAAAAAATCTGCTAATGCTCCAATTTTCCTTTTTCCTCCACCAGCAAGCCAAGATAGTCAATCCTGACAGTTACATTTTCCTTCATTACAGATTAAATTGCTCTCCTTATGAATATATTATTTATAAAAGTGAACAGTCTCTAAATTTTTATAACTCCTTCCATCCATGGATAGGAGGCCTCGTGGGTGGAAATTGTTCATCCACTCCATTGACTGCTCTGGGATTGTACAGAACTGGGCCTTCACATTCTATCTTCCAGGCCAGGTACTTTACTTGGCTCTCCTGGCCCCTCAAAGAAAACCCTCTGCTAAGGATAACTCACATTCATGACTTCACAATCCAGGTGAGTTCAGACAATAAATTCCTCTGACATAATTTGCTAAACTAGTTGAAGTTGAAAAACATAATAAAATTAAAAATATGACCACCAAGTCAGATCCAATTTTGGCCAATAACTTATTCAATTAACCTGTTTTTAATCTCACCAAGTACATCCTGAAAGTACAAAAAGGAACTCCAACCAGCATGTCCCATTAGCTCAGGGAAAGCTGACCCAGGTAGTCACTAAAGAAGCAACTTTCCACATCAAACTAGAGGTGTTTATGGGAGAAATCAAGAGGTGAACATTATTTTTTATTTTGTAATTTTGTTTAGCTGTGCAGGAGTGCCATGTTTTTCCAGTTAAAATACTGTTCATATATATGAATATATATGATTATATATGTATATATATTTGTATAATCTTAGTCTTTAGTCGAAAGGATTTCTACCCACTATTATTTTTAGGGAAATCACTTAATTTTAGCTGAGGAGAACATGCCCACTCTGTATTTCAGGTTTCATCTTTGGCACCAGACCTTACAAAATAATCTTACTGCTTTAATTCTTTGGGCAGTGGGCACCACCCTTCTCCAGACGTTCAACCTGGGAATGGAGAGGGTGACCTGTAGCATAACCCTTCCAAGGAATGAGGGTCTGTCTGTTGCCTGATCAGGAGGTTCATTTGCTAGGAGAAGAGTGCAGATATGTGAATGTCTACATAACTCAAGTTAGCTAAATTCCAGCTGAACTAACCAGCAGAAGTTGGGAGGTGATTTGAGACATTTCTGACGACCCAGGGAGTTCCCACACATCAAGCCCAGAAAATGGTGTGTGTGTGTGGCAAAGGTAGAGAAAAACTCACAGGCTTTTCACCAGAGGAGAGCTGTCCTGGCCTTGACAGCATCACTTCTGCGGGACATCCCTTCCTTGTTGGCCGCCTTACCTTACCTTAACTATGTCGTCGTTGAGATGCTTGGGGTCGCGGTTGACCAGATCGATCTCCTTGGTATGCGCGTCGTACACTTGCTTCTCGTTCATTTCGTCTGCCATGGCCTTGTTGTTGGGCTTGTAGATGTTGCCCTGTTCCCGGATGGGAACTGTATAGAGATGTCCCTGCAGAGGGCGGATGGCCAGGAAAGGAAGAGTGGCACCAGCGGTCAGAAGAAATTTTCAAAAAGAAAAACAAACGATCAAAAGTCAGTCTGGAGGCGGAGTAAACCTCCAAGCTCAAAATCGAACTAACCGCTTCAGCAGCAGTGTCTCCCAGCGCAGTAAACTCCTTGGCGCCGCAAGCTTTTTAAGAGGATCGAGAAGACACCACACCCCTCCTTACTAGGCTGGGAGCTCCTGTGTCCAGAGCCAGCCGCCAGGGGTCAGGGCAAACCCCGCAGTGTGGTCAGCCCCGGCCCCCGCCCCGCGCACGTTTTGCTCTATGTACCCCGTGGAAACCCCGGCAGCTAACGGACCCGACTTCTGACTTTTTTCTCTAGCTCCTGTCTCACCCCGAGTGCTTCACCTGCTCCATTTTCTCGTCCCCCGCCCCTATCCCACCTCTCTCCATAATCCTTCCAGGTTCATCCTAAAGATTCAACTTGAATCCTTTCACTCATGTAATGTCTCCATTTCGTTGCTTCCCAGCCGCGTTTCCCTGGCACCTGCCACCGTCCCTCTGCCCTCTTTGTTCTTCCACAGCTTCCCCACCCCCCACGGTGGTTACTGTCTCGCAGGTCCCCATCTCTGGGTGGAGCCCTATGTCTGATCCCCTTAACTCCCTAGCATATCTCACCTGTACAACTACTACCCAACCCACCCTCAGGTCACTCCCCAACTGCTGGCCTGTAGCAGAAGGAGGCTGCGTTGGGGAATAGGAGGTCTCCTCACTCGATCTGGACGGTTTGGAAGGGGTAGTGGTAGTTGGGGGAGGGAGCTCTGCCCCTCTACAAACACCCCTGCCAGGCGCAGAGATGCAGGAAGGGTTCTTGAGGTGGGCTAAGAGCTCTGGAAAGTGCACACACGGCACGCACTGCCGCCCGGTCCAGCCGGCCCAGGCGCCTGACTGGGAGTCACTGGGACTGTCCTCTGGACGGCGGGTGAACGACCTCCCACCCAGACCTCCAGCTCCCCGCCTCCCAGTTGGCAAGGGCTGGACTGTGGGGGTCCCGCAATAAGGAAGACCTGGTGGACCCATCTAGAACCGCGTCCTCGGCCAGGGAGACCTAACCCAGAACCCCGACCAGCTTTTCTGTGTCGCTCTAGCTTAGGGCCTCCCGGGTCCCTTCCCAATAGGAAAACAACAACAACAAAATATTTATGTATCCTCTTCACCTCCCCGCCCCGGCCCATTCCTCAGCAGTGCCAGCCGGAGAGGAGTGCTCCGAAGTTAAGAGAGGGCTGGGGCAAGGAAGGCAGTCGGAACATTTGGAGTGGGAGATAGCAGAAGTAGCACTCCCTGCACGCCCCGGAGGCCGGCGCGCACTCACCCAAGCCTACCTCGGAGTCTACGTATTTGCCCCCAGACATGCTGGCCCGTGGCTGGATGAAGGCTCTGAGATTTCCCTGGGCTGTGATTTAAGGGAACTGAAGAAGAAAGATCTTGTATTGTATGGAGTGGGGAAAAGGCGCTGGCGGGAGGCGGTGGCTGGGAGGGAGCCTCTTGGCCGCCTGCCAAGGGTTTGTTCTGCTCAGCGTTGGTCGGGACGTGCGCTGTGCCGGGTCTAGGCACATCCCCAAAGTTCTGGCAGCAGAGGGCGGGGAGCGCCCGCGGGAAGCACAGAGCGGTGAGACGACGTTTCACCCGCGCTGGGCTGCTTGGGCAGGTATTTTAAACCCGGGGCAACATTTTTTCAACAAGGAACCACTGAGAAGCGTCCTGAGGAAAGCGAATGTTTTCACAGTGCATCATCCCAGCAAGGGTGGGGAGTGGAGTGATCCCACGCTCCCGCAGAAATAGAGACCCAGTAAGGGCGCCCGAGCTCTAGAAAGAGTCCAGGGCCCTGTTCTAAGCCGTTCCCTTCCAGTTGCCCACGTTCCATCCCTGCCTAAGACACAACTATCTCCCTGTTTCACAGAGGAAGGAATTAAAAAACGGATCGGAACCTTTAGTTGCATTTCTCATCTAAACACAAGGAAGGAATCTGTGTGGATGCGTGTGACACTGGTTTACCTCTACTCTGTGGATGGAAACTTGGAGAAGCAGGCATGCAGAGTAATTTAATGTTTCCTAACCGCTCCAGAAATATCTCCCAAATAATTAGAAATAAGAAATGAAATATGAAACTTTTCTATAATTTTATTACTGATCTTTTCTGGAACAAGGAAAATTATGCCAACAGGTTATACCATAGTTATAAACTATTTATAATTATTAGTAATTAAAATATGTTACCTCTTCTGAATTTGGGGCTTCTCTCTTTGTCCTACAAAGTACCTTATTATAAAGTAGCACAAGATGAATTAAACAAAAATAATCAATCATTTTTACTTTGAGGCTATAAGGAAATTTACTATCTAAAAATGGAAAGGATTTTTTTCTCTTAGTTTCCACATGCAATCAAAAGTCAAATTATGACTTGGAATAAAAAAGCTGGGAATATACCCAAAGGGGCACATATTACATTAAAAACGCTGACAGTCTAGAAGAGACAGTGACAATCTATGGGGGGGAGAGGTACAAAAAGGAAAATGTCACAAACATTGACATAACTTTAATTATGCTGGCTAATCATCACTGGAATACTAAAGATCTTCCAAAAGTTATATTTTAAATTTTATTTCTGCCAAATTGCATTTCTAAATTCTTTGAACAAATTATGTGTTAACAAATATAATATGCTAGAAAAGGGTTGTGTTGGGTAGTGCCCAGTGTACCTCTAATGATTGTTAAAAGATTGTTGTCCATCTAAATCTTCTTTCATAAATGTTGACTGCAGGGCAGTTGGGGTTAAGTTCTATGGAAAAATGTGGAAAGCCAGTTCCCATCTATTGTTATTCAATCTTCAGCTGTGATGAGTAATCTTGACTGAAAAAAGTCAACAGGAACAGGGAGAGAGCATGTCCTGCATTCCAGCGAGGAATGGCCTTTCTGGGGAGGCCTGTGAGTGAATGCTTAACTAGTACTGAAAGGAAGGAAAGCAGCCTGGCTGGGAAAGTTTATGTCTAAGTGGAATCAACAGCAGCACGTGGAATTATAATGATCAGTGAAGCGTTGTCAATGCCAATATGAATTCCTAATGAGAAGAAAAACCACCAGTCTTCATTAACCTGCCTCAACAAGAAGCTGGCACAGAAGAGAAACAGATCTTATTGTGGTTATAATAGCTGAGTTGGAGAATTGGCTCCAACTTTATGAGAAATAAAGAGAAAATGAAGAAGAACATTGTTAGCATAGTGCAGGAGTTGAAATGAATAGATGATGTAAAAATACAAAAAGTTTTTCTTTGATAACCACAAAGATAATTTTAGGCTTGGGGGCAAGTTAATAGCTTTCTCCAAATCATTTACTAAAATATGTATAAACGGCGAGTCATTTGCCCTCTATTTTTTTTTAAAGAAGCAGTCTTAAAGGTCAGCTCATGTATTATGTATTACTGAAAGTATAGAGGGACACAGATTATGCAAACCAGCCATTATAGAGATGAAAAAACTGAAGTTTAAATACATGATTCATTCTTAAGTAGTTTTGTGGGGGTAGTAGAACATTTTCAAGTTGATAAATAACTAGCACCTATTAAGAACTCACAGGCGATAGGATGCTGGACTCACCTAGTCTAGTGAGGGCCTGCTCAGAGCAAAATTGTGACGCTAGTTGCTGTTAGTGGTATCTCATCTTCTCAAGACCCCTTACCCCATGGCACAGCTTCCTCTTCCAGTTCCCACCATTCTAGGTCCTCTTCCTGCTTTCAGGTGGTTCCATTTAATTCCCACTTTAAGATTAGGAATCTAAGGTTTGATCACTTACAATGATATCAAGGTTTTAAGAAGCAGGCATCTTTCCATTTCCCAACACTCAGAAGCCTGAGGTTGTCCAGATGTGCCTTTCTTAATGAGTTCATGAAAGGGAGTATAATTTGGATTGTAAATAGGGTCATCACTGGATATGATATAAAAATTAATAACCAGTATGGTAGAGACAACCAGCAGTCACTCCAGGCTTGGGTCCCAGCTCTGGAGCTATGCCTTCAAGCCTTGCTGGTTAGCTGCTGGCTATTTGGAACTGCGGGTTCTCTTAGGGGAAGGGTGAAAGGGGAGGAGGTAGGGTGCAATTCACAGACTGATTATTGACATGCAAGTATACAAATGTCAGTATTTTTACAATTTGTGTGCTCAGTTGAATATTTACCCTAATTATCACCAACATCACCTTATACATCTTCTTAGTCACCCCTATTCACCAACTTGATTCCAGCCTCGTTCCCATACCTACAATACTTCTTCCATATTTTCTATTTTATACATGAAAAGATAACTGCTTCCTAGAATAAGACTTGCTTTATCACCTGATCCTTTCTTATTTCTGTTTTGGCTTGAAGCCCCACTGGAATCTTCCTTGGTTTGAGCCTTCCCATTTTGAAATTTTAAATGATTTAAAATCATTATTTTCTGAAAAAGTAAATAATTATTTCTATACTTTAAAAATCTTTCTGACCAAGGTGGCAAAGAATGTATTCTTTTCATGCTGTTTCTTTAAATTAGCTCCAATTTTTAAATTTGTAAAATGAAAAACATAATTTACATCTACTCAATAGGGGTACTATGAACATTTAACGAGGTGATACATTTAAAGCATGAATATATTGCCTAGCTCATAACAGATAAGGATTAAGGGTACACATTTCAGTCCACAGATTCAGGATTAGAATAAATGTATTTTACTTTAAAGTATTTTTATTATAAAATAGTTCACCATCTAAGATATAGCACATAGTATAATAAGCACCCACCATCAAGCCTGATCAAATAATAATTTACTTTATTTGCTTCAGATTCTTTAAAGTGGCAAACATTACAAATATTATTGAAGTCCAATGTGAGATGTAACTTTCTCTGTAACTGAACTTAATTTCTTCTGCAACTTCCTATTCCTCTGGGTGGCAGAACTTTCATCTCAGTCAATTCCTACTTTCTTCCATTTTGTTGGGGTTACATATACATTCCAGAGACTTCTGAATTGCCAAGGATTCTCCAGGTGGGTCTCTGGAGGAGAGGCTGTTTTTTGGTTGTGCTGATAGGTACTTCATTTTGTCTTTAGTCATTGGTCCATTCAAGACATTGCTACAATGTCCTTCATGCTTATTCTACATGACCCTTAGGGCTACAGATACTTTTTCTACATCTGTCCTTCTCTTGGGGTTCTGTGCAAATCTGAGGAATCTGAGTAGGCATGCAGAACACAGCATCATGGAGCCTTCCTTGTGAGTGTGATGTAGAGAGCAGAACAAATGCCATGCCATGGTGTGGAGAAACTCCAGAAGGTAGCTACCTCCATGGCCCTACCTAGGGCAGGAGGCACACATATTTATTTTCTTAGGTCATCTTAACTTATCTTGGCCTGTGCTAGGGGCACACGTGTCTCAAAAATTAGTTTGTTTATTTTTCCAATTTTTTCTCCCTTGAGCACGAATCCTTGCTATATATCACCCAACAATTTTGTTATGCCCTGAATACTCCCAGGACCATATTTTTTGCGGGGGGAGTCAAAAAAAACCTTATCTCTGCTTTTCTGCTGTAACAATGCTTCCCTAGGCTTGGGGACAGGTGGAGCAGGGGAAGGCTCCAGGGGCAATCAGAAAGAAACATTAGTAAACATTTCAGAAATATCATCATTCAACAGTTTTCTTCTTTCCCTTCAACCCAGTCCTGCCAAGATTTTGCCAGTAATATCTCTAAAGAACTATCTGATATGTCTGAATTATAACAAACCTTCATACTCAAATTCTAAATATATAATTTTAGAACTTCTGCCAAAATTTATATTTCATTGATAGCCCTGCATTAAGGCTTTTATCCTTCTAAATCAACTCAAAATATCAATAGTAGAATAATATACCTGACCTTTATCACTATGTCAGTTTACTTTACAATTTTCTTATCAAATTATGTTATTCAAGTCCAAATTAATATTTTTGGTTATTTAATATAATTAAAATAAAGCTAATTCTTGGGGAAACTTTTGGAAAGCAAATCTTGCATAGAAAAGTACAACTGAATTCAGTGTTCTAATTATAATTGGTAAAGGTATTATAAGTACTAAATCAGTGCAGAGGAAGCTTTACAGCTAATTAACAGTGAAAGATGATGTGACCAACACATTTTTGTCATCATATATTCAGCATATATTTTAAAACTGAATTTTAAGGTGTATCAAGCAATTATTGCTACAATAACTCAGCCCAATAAACTACTACAAAACTCGGTGGCTTTAATGAACAATGATTTATTCTCACAGATCTGTGACTGGGTGAGCTGGGACTTGGCTGATCTAGAATGAGGTGGCTGGGCCAGCTCTTCTTGCTGCTTGTCTGTGCCGGCTCTGTTCCATATGGGTCCATCCTCTTTGGACCAGAAAGCTAGTTGGGTCAGGTTCTTCTGCTAATCCAAGAAGTAGCAGAAAAAATATGCAAGCTTTCTGGAAGCCTAGATTTAGA